TCACCTCCTCCGTTACATTTAAATGCTTCCCGGTAAAGTAGATTTGTCTGTTGCTTTAACATATCTGAACATCAGACTATTTCCCCTACATCTAGGGATGCCGGCCTCTAGGTGGGACCTGGGGTCCCTCGGAATTACAGCTCATCTCCAGACTACACAGATCAGTTCCCCTGGAGAAAACGGATACTTTGGACTCTATGGCACAATACCCCACTGAGGCCCCTGTCCTCCCCAGGCTCCATCCCCAAATCTCCAGGAGTGGCCAGGGGGTTAAGTGATTAAGTGTGCGGACTCTAATCTGGGAGAACCGGGTTTGATTCCCCACTCCTCCACTTGCACCTGCTGATGTGACCTTGGGTCAGTCACAAGCTCTGGCACAGCCGTCTTTGAAAAAGAGCAGTTTCTGTCAGAGTTCTCTCAGCCCCACCCACCTCACAGGGTGTCTGTTGTGGGGAGGGGAAGGGAAAGGACTTTGTAAGCCGCTCTGAGACACCTTTGGGAAGTGAAGGGCGGGGTATAAATCCAATCTCTTCTTCTTCTTCTATTTATGCCAGAGCTGTTAATATCCCACATAAAATGAAATTTTCCCAGTGATGGCACAGAGGAAGAGGCACGGCTGCGGACACTGGAGATACCCTACAAACTGTTAACACCGGGGAAAGAGAATTTACAAGATTACCTCAGTCTTTTATGATTCTCTGGGACATTCCACCCATAAAATAACAAGCTAAATAAATCCACAGAGCAGGATCAACCTAAGCTCAGGAAAGCAGTTACCCCATTTGTTTAATACGGCCGACGCTAAATTACATGGCGCTATAATCTTCTCTGACAACACAGATAGGTTTCACAACAGTTTACGAGCGACGCTGGCCGTAGAGAACGATGAAATACGGCCGAAAAGCTACATGGAGCGAAGAGCTGCTAAATCAATCCACAATAATGCCACTAGACATGATCCCGTTACCGAGCGCCAAGAGCTCAGCAGATGTTTCTCCGCCCAGCAATGGACCTGCTTGTGCTCTCAGTTCTTTGGCTCCGTTGCCTGCAGTAGGCCCCATCTGCATGTGGAACTGACAACTCAAAGGGGGACTTGGGAAGGGGAACTTCCACACGAAGCCAGCTGGGTGACCTTGGGTCAGTCACAGCTCCCTCAGAGCTGTTCTCTTAAGAGCCGTTCTCTCAGAGCTCTCTCAGCCCCACCTACCTCACAGGGTGTCTGTTGCGGGTTCCAACTCTTATGGGGGGGGGAGGCTCCCTCGGCTATACCCATATACCCCCTCTATATGAAAGA